CATTAGTTTTGTTCATGTTCGAAACATTGAAGGGCTAATAACGAGCAACTACAGCCCGAAGTCCAGGCAATGCTGCACCCAAGGCTCCCTAATTTGGTGAACTACTATCGATGTGAATCCTAATGCTACGCAGCATGTTTCGCTTCTGGAAGCGTTGCAACTACCCACTTAAGGTCTTAATGGTGTACTCAGGAAGGCCAAAACGTTCAAAAACAACTAGGCCTTGAACTCGGTGATTGAATAGTTAGGTAGCATGCCTTGTTCGACATTAAAGCACCCAAGTTGACAGGCTTGTCTGTATTTCTATATTTTAAGCACCTCTCGAGGTGTTGGCAAAAATTTGACATCTTTATAGATTGTAGATAAGTGCGCTTATAAATAATGAGAGAGATGACATTATGGGGTATTCAAAAGGTAAAAATTGCCATAAGCTTAATTTGACAGAACACTTTGTTTCTTTTTTTTATTCTTAGCCTTAAGCTGAAAATTTTCGAACCTTTTTGCATTGGTGACAGCACCTGGGACATGAGAGTATAAAATCTATTTAAGAAACCGCTATTTTACTGGTTTTTCCGTTTCATTTAAAAAACGAATTAGAATTGTTTTTGTAGCTCATGACTTGGCTATTTCTAGAATTTATCTCCACAAAGCCTATGAGTTATTCGAAAAAATGATAGTACAACTTAAAGCAAGCAGGTTATCGGTGTTTCTTATCTGCTACACGCAAAGCTCACAGGAGCTGGTTATGTACAGTGAGTTGCGTTGCGTTATTTATCTGTACCGCAAATGTGATAGGGATTCTAATAAGTGTTAATGCTTGCATCTTTTACACTAGGCAACGTTTTTTTTAGCATTACCTAGTCTAGTTTCTCAACACTAAAAGCCTTCACCCAACAGCACTCGAATTTGACCAAGTAAGGTCAAATGGCATATATTCTACCTTTTTGTCTCATGTTTTCAGCAAATACATCGTCGTAACAGTGTGTCTGTGTTGACGATCCGTGAAGAATGGCATTTGCGCGTTATCATTCGGCCCCTTTTGGTAGTCCATGCCTTTTGTTAATAAAGTAATTGTGATGTCTGCCAAGCGTTTACGCATGTGCGTGGAGCTAGACGACGACAAATCTTAGGTTTTAAACTTGAGGGAGGCCTCAAAAACCTTTCGTACAAGCAAGTCTCGCTTGAACAAAATGGACACCTGCGCAATCGGAACAGACTGCTATGAGGTGGACAAAGGAGATAGCATGATGCTCGGGATACTGGTGCGGTCGGTATGTTACGACCATGGACTTCCATTTGCTCGTTGGTGACTGCTGTGAGGAGCATGGTACAAGCCGTAGGAGTGGCATTCGCTGTACAAAAAGAAAGGAGCTAGACCCAATGTCATGCACAAGTGGTGACAGGTTTAAAAGTTGCGTACCTGGAAAAAAACTATCATCTAAATCTACAGATGACGCCAAGGTTGAAGTGCCGGAGGAAACGCACCAGTTGCTCGGAATTTGAAAAAGGCTAAGTGAGGTTAAAGCGGCACCAATCAACGCATGCTAATGCATGTAGATAACAGGCGTGAATAAAAAATAGATGGTGAGATGTAATCGATTAAGACCAAAAACATTAACGTGAGGCTCATATTTGTTTACAACAACGCCGGACGCAGCTTTGTGATCACGCAATATGTGCGTTCATACCATACTCTCACAAAATAATGACGCTGGCTATAGACCAAGCAGGTATTGCGACCTTGTGAGCACGCATGTGCCTAGGGAAGTAATTATAATACCTTGAGTTCGACAAGGATGCGAAGAAGCGAGTCGGAGGGCGTAAAGTCGACTTTGCAGCAAAGACGGATTATGTTTGAAAAGGAGTTAAAAATAATTAAAAGTGAAGATGCATTAGAGACGAAAGGACGGGGAAGTTTGAAAAGGTGTTAAAATGAGCGGCAGAAACAGTTGCCAGGTCGTATTATTTGCGAAAGCATTATCAGTTTGTGACAGAACAAAGGATAAACCAGAGAAAAAATATAGATTAGCAGTGAATGGACCTCACAGCAAGAACAAGGATGTAATTGGCGCGGAGAATGCCAAACGTAACACAGAGTGTGTTCCATTCTCATTTCTGCAAGTCCAGCTGTTTTCAAAAAGTTATATTTTATCAGCTGCAGTTGATTATAAAAAGAAATTTGACCACCTTGTCAAAAAAAAGAGGAAGCAACACTTTAAAACCTTTGACTTTTAATTAAAATTTGTACAAATGATAAACGCAGCAAGAAAATACTTGGAATAGCAGCGTTCGGCCAAAGATGTACGTGTAATAATTTGATTTACTCCTTCTTAGTCGGATTCACTTAGTTTTTTTATGAAGTGAAAACTCTGTAGCAAAAAGTTGTAATTCATTAATGTTGAGTGCAAACTCGACCGTTTACTACCCCCGCAAGCTGATCTGCTTTAAGACAAGATGAGATTGTCCCGTGCTCGCGCGTGTTTAACATTGTCATTGAATAAGATAGGCGATTTCGTATAAGATTAGTAATGGCGGCATCGCAGAGATAGCTAAAGATTTTTGAGTATGTAGGTAAGAAAGCGTTCCACGTCTGCGAATAATATTTAATCTTCACGAAATTATCCATAAAAAGGAATTATAGCTCAAAACTGCAGCCTGAAGGTCAAAATCCCTACAGACGTTTAGACTAGGCAAGTAGGTCACGCTCAGCTTTAAACGGCATTCAATGGATGGGAATAAAGGTATCAGCACATCGAAAGGCGTATAGTAAGGCAAAGAGTAGATGACACCATCGACAGGTACGGTGAAGATGAAGAGTGCAAGGGCATCTACGCAAAAAAAAATTCAACCAAAGCAGCACTATAAATGTCATTTGACGAAGAAAAGGAGGCTGTAGAGAATAATCGCAAAGTGCCAATACCGTGTCATATATACCTTGAGTGCAAAATGATGAAGGACCATAACCGTAGTTGAGATAGAAGGGCAGTCTCGAAAGCTCACCTCCGATATATGTAACCCAGTTCATAGAACTGGTACATTTTGCAAAAACTATACAAAAGCAGAAGTCACTGAAGATGGAGTATGATGCTGTTAATGTTTTTGTTAGCTCAGTAGTATTCTCATGCAACGCGATCATCCTTTGAATATGGGCGTCCAGCATTTGTTTATGTGATCATATTCACCTTTGATCTATTTGAAGCCAATTACGTGTGTGCGTCACAATAGTGACCTAGCCTAAGAGCAAATTTAGATGTGTCTCTAAACCTATGAGGAGGGATAGGCTAAAACGCACTTAGTACGTGTAAGTTACACCCAGACGCATTTATTATAGATACAGACGCGCACACACATGGATAAGTACGATGTAAAAATTGGCATTCAACCTTGCGCACACTCACTAATAACTTCACTTTCGGCCTTACAATAACCGTAATTTACTCGATTTACGCCTTCTGATTGATAGAATTGAGAACATCACCGGTTTCAGATGTGATTTATAGTCTCATTTAAAATGATAAATAACTAAATCTGAACATTCTATGCATCTCTTTTAGTCGGCGACGTGTAGGAAGTTACTAACCAGCTACTTCATTTGACCGAGTAGTGGCTGGGTCAAATAAAAATATTATACGAGCGGTTCTGGAACAGTTTGGTCTTTGAGCAATCATTCAAATAAACTGAATGTAAACGGATACACATTGATACCGCATCACGGCTTCATTAGCTGCTTCAACATTACGTAAAAATGGGCAATGTTAGCTACAGCACAACTTACTTGTTGCGTCTTCCTCACTGGCTGCTAACGCTGCTGGACGCCGGTTGCCATGGCTAGAATACCACTGACCACTTGTTTCCTGAGCGGCGTGCTGATGCTCTATCTTTTTGCCTTGCGACTACTTTGAAAATTTCGGTAAACCTAGCGGTACCATGAAGTCGTGCCGGCTTGACAAATATTGTCGCCAACTTCATGCGCCACGCACGAGCTCATTGTCGTGGTAAAGTGCAGCAATGTAAGCACACTTTCGTGCAACTGCTTTAGAATACTTCGGCTTTGCTGATCGTGTCCGTGTTTCTACTCGGAGCGGGGGCTCGACCACGGCCCTAGGCCAAGGATATCATGTCAATGTTCTCCATGGGGACAGCGGCTTCGAACTATTATGGATTATCGAACTTGTGGACCATCGCAAAAAAACAGACCGCCCTGCTGTACCAAATCATCGTAACAGCCTTCTTCTGCAACACGTCCTGCATTAAGTACCAGATTTCAGTCTGCATTTAGAGACGTGGACAAGCGATGTGTAACCGGAGTTTTGTCATGTACATCTAGCATAAAAGTTGCTGCAGAGTCGACACAATCGATGCCTCAGTCTCAGGATTGAAAGCGCTGGTGGCTTCATCGAGCAGCAATAGGCTCGGTTAACGGCAAAGCGAATGAAAGAAGCAGATATGGGATGCGATTAATGCGTCGGGATCGGCTGCCAGTACTTAGCAAAATGACGATTATTAACAACCAATCAAAAATTTGGAATGTTTATTTTTAATATGATATATAAGGGGTGGGGGGTTAGCGAAGACCTGGGAGTTGTAAATGATTCCTAAAGTTGTTTAGTTATGCTGATGCACTTCAAAGCATTGTAGGTAAATTAGAATCGGATTATTAGGTTTTGATAAAAATGACGAATTCTATTTATGACAAATCGACTACTGGAGGAGGAGGTGTAATATATGGAGCATATGCGAATACGTCATAGATGGAGTAAAAAAAGATTGACCATTGGAATATCCTAAAAAGATCAGCTAGATGGCTCTCCAGCACAATGATCCACTAGCGACCGGACATTAAACGTTTTCCAGATTGAATTTAAAAGACACCAATTGTAAACCGGATGGTTCGGTGTACCAGTCCTCTCCTCCATCCACAAACCTTGCAACGTGACAATACGCAGCAAATTTCTCAATCATCCAAAGCTGCTAGTGCTTGCAGTACAAATCGTAGCTCCATGCCCGAATATCTCGTCTATTTCGTGCATCAGCACTTCGATTTCCGCTACCCGGAGCTGGACGCTCTGCTGACGATGCAAAAGCTTCCTGGCGTTGCAAAAACGGTGTTAATTGACCCCATCACGGGAAAATTACCCGTACCCGAGAGTTCACCGCTCGTGCGCGTGCAGCTCCCGTCGGAAAAAGACGCAAAGTTCCTCTCGGAGCGCGGAATTCTCGTTAAGGGTGTGTACGAAGTGTGGGGCCACACCACAAGTGGCGGTGGCTACGATGAACTTGTGGCGTCCGTGGAGAGCTATGAAGGGGTCCAGAAACAAGAGCTATTCAAGGACGAAGAGCGCTCGTGGCGTATCAACGTGAGTGTGTTCGGCAAAAAGCTTAGTATGGACGAGCAGCAGAAGCGACGTGAACGTTTTCGTGATGTATTGCCATTTGCTGGACCAGTGCAGATGAAGCGTCCCGACGAGACTTTTCTAATTCTAGAAGAGTTATATCTGGACCAGGATTTAGCTTCGGACGTGAAGCCGAAGCAAATCTTCTTCCTGCGTGAACTCGCAGGTAGTGAAAAGAATCGGGGGCGTGGCGGAGCGCGGGACCTTGTCGATCAACAGACACTGAAGCGCAGGGCTTACATTGGCCCCACTTCAATGGAGTCGGAGATGGCGCTGCTGATGAGCAACATGGCTTTAACGCAACGCGGAGATCTGGTCATTGACCCGTTCGTAGGAACCGGCAGCGTTCTGATCCCGTGCGGTACGCACGGCGCCATTTGCTATGGCACGGACATTGATATTCGAGTTCTTCTTGGAACTGGTGTTGGTGTTACGGGTGCAGGTGCAGTCCTTACAGAAGATATATCGGATGGTAAAGCGCGTGTTAATGTGGTCACGAATTTTAAACAGTACAGCCTGCCACTCCCAGAGCTCATTCGGGCTGATAATTCCGACTCTCCTCTTGTCGTAAAGTGCCGTGGCTACTTTGATGCCGTGGTGTGTGATCCGCCGTACGGAATTCGCGCCGGTGCTCGCAAGAGTGGACGAAAGCGTCAGGCTAAAGGCGATGCGAACAGCGCTGTTAAGCAAGACAATTATATTGCGCCCACGCAGCCGTACGCTGCAAAAGATGTGATGAAGGACCTTCTAGAGTTTTCCGCTCAGACGCTGCGTGAGGGAGGGCGATTGGTGTACCTTTTGCCTACGACGTACGAGTATACCGACGATGATCTGCCGCGCCATTCTTTATTGCAGGTAGTTGCAAATTCGGAGCAGAAACTGACCAAAAAGTACGCGAGACGTCTTGTCACGATGGTTAAGCGTACACCATCTGCGAGAGAGATAGATGCGGCTGTGAGTGCAGCGACATCTTCCAGGAGTGACCCAAGTTTTGCAAATTTACGAGAAAAGATACGTAAGCGGAAGTCCGAAGACGCTGATGGACCGGAGCTATAACTAGCATGGATTGTAAGTGGCATGTGCCGGACTGCTACTATTTGACGTAATTTGACTTGAGAGGACTTTCTTTGCAGAAAAGTCAAGGTGGGGAGCTACGTACGAGAAGGAGCACAACCCTTTTTTTCGTTTACAAAGGGCTAGCGGCAGACGCGATGGCTTCCATGTCGCTAAATTTTATCTTGTGCGACCCGGAGGATGCGTTGGCTGTGAACTCACGCGAGCAAGTAAAAGCAACAAAGGAAGGTGAAAGCAGCGCGTTCGTGAGCAGTATCGATAGTAACTGTTCACCGAAATCAGGCAGTTTAGCTCCTCGTCAAGCTGTAGATGACCAGAAAAGCCGCGGGAACGCACGTAAGCTAGACAGGTACGGGCGGCTCATTTCATTGACATTGGTACCTTCATTTGTATCATTCACTTACTCCTAATTCTTTCTGATGTAGGCAGCAACACACGCGCCAACTGCAAAATTTGCGTCAGCGCCGTTACCGAGAGCGTAAGAAGTTGAGCGCATCGACTTTGCAGTCCAATTCGGAGCATGTGTATCAAGAAAATGCAGCACTTGAGACTTCTATTTTGGAGCGTTTCAAGGCGCGCACGTCTGTCTAAATTCTCCGTAGAAATCAACAAGTAATGCAATTGGCACTATGCGGACTATCATGACCTTGACAAGACCTGACTTGTTAAGTCCGAACAACTTTACGATACAGGCCACAACTTGCTTTTCCCGAGGACATCAGCGTCATCGATGTTGACGTGGTTAATGGGACATTGATTAACACTTCACACTTGCCGTTTGACAATATTGGCCTTAGTGCGAAATTGTGGGAAAATTGGGGTGACGATATGCTAACTGAATGCGACATATCTACTGTGTAGTCCAGATTGACTACTCGAATTGCTATCGTCGTGAGGTCCTGAAGACGTGCTTAGAGGCAAGTGGTGGTAGCAAAAACAGTCTGCTGTCGTGAACGAATGTGTTGTATGCAAGCAGACACGAGACTAACAAGCACACATCTCACAATAGTTTACGCGATACTTTCGACTAACTACTCATAATACGTAGACCTAGTGATACTTCTGACTAACTGCTCATAATACGTAGACCTAATGATGTTTCCTAATTCAGTTGGCGGTAATAAAGCTACTTTAGGGTCGAGCACGCAATTTTTGCGCCTACGTTAGACATTATCTTCAGCATTTTATTCGTCGGCTACTAGGAATTAGGTGCGTTCTTAAGCAAAACGCGCTGTAAAAAGAGCTCACAGTCTTTTTATAGATAGGTTCACACCAGATATTATTGCATTGGCAGATAAATCCATTACACTACCAGCACTCGATGAAATCTGGTGCGAGGCTATCACAGATGCGGATCGTGACTCTTCTTCGTTACACCAACCTCAAAGATCTTCTGAAAGTAACTCCTAGGTATGTAACAGATTTCAGCAAGACGTGCGGTAACTGCACTATCAAGAAAACGCAGGCATTACTAAATCTGCTTTCGTTGCGTATGCAGTACAAAGTTACAGTGATGAATGAGCAAAGTTGATGTAAACCGGGCTAGAAGTCAATTGTAGCCATCTAAGCGAGCGCTACAAACATGCGGAAGTGGCCACGCGTTGATCCGAAGGCTTAATCATGTATTTCAGGTTAAATCAGTCTTGCCCTACCCCTATCTGTGAATGAACGACCTGATTGACTACTTGCTTTGTCTGTCCTCGGTGGAAAACCCACATGAACTGGACGGATCGGCAGCAATACATACCCTGTCAATTCCGATCCCTAATTCACCAGATCCTTAGTCTAAATATCCACCCAAACTTATTATATCGATGTCGCTGTGGTTGTCGCGCCGTCATAATGGCTGGGCCCAAAGATAATTATTATTCAAGTGCCTAAGCTCGCGCCGACCTTCCGACGCTATGATGACGTCGCCACGAGAAGCGACCGCAGCGTCCTCTCGCCCCGATCCACCTCGCTGTCTCCGTCTTCCTGCAGACAGTCCACGCACAAGCGCCGTCGCGTCCTGCGGTTCTTCCGTCGTCGCTGCGACCGACGCGAGTGCAACAAGTGGCGACTCGGTCGATATGCGCAGTCAGACGTGTGTGGAGTTTCTGCACATTATGAAGGAGTTCTCCGAGAGCTCTTGCGACGCGAATGAGACGGTCCAGCGCGTGGATTCGCTCGTGAATCAGGACGAACAGCTGCTGCGACTCTTCCCGCTGTCGCGGTCAGTGGGAGACGAAGACGACGAGGCCGAGCGGAGATATGAGCGACGAGGACGTCAAGTGCGAGAGAGTGACGAGGCAGAAGATGGGGACCATCTGATTGAAATGAACGCGTCTGACTTGGAGGTGAACGAGACTCACGACGAGCTGCAGCGCTGGATGGACTTGGATCTGGACGATTTTGACTACCACGTGGACGTGTTTGACTTCCAGCACACTCAACCATTGCAGGTAGTGGATGGCGATTGCGGTATGGATACACAACAACAAAACATCATGTTGACAGCGTTGCCGTCGTCAAGGATGAAGCAGCAAAGTGACAATGGTGACACTGGTTGTAGTGGTAGTAAAAGTGGTGGTATACGAGACGAATGGCTTGTGCAACAGCCACCGCTGGATGCAGCAACGAGTGATTTAGTAGACGATCAGGACGCAATGTGTGGGTCTCGAAAGCTACTGCAGGTGTCTGGAAACCACCTGCCACGTTGTGAAACGCATGTTTTTGCGACTGTGACTACTGCTGTGACTGCTGCTGCTGCTACTACTGTCCATGAAGATCGTGACCACACTTTGGGTCTTCCGTTAAACGGTGCTGTGCTGCCGTCTGGTCCACCTTCCAAGCGAACTAAGGTGTCACTTTCAGCTGGATTACAGGGTGTTCGATTGGCAGTACTGCCGAATGAAGACAGAAGTAATGAAGTGCACGTCGAGACAAAAACGAATGAAGACGAGGAAGGCAATGTATGGGGCATGGAGAGTGATGGCTACGAGCACGATCTTCTTTCGTCCATCGACCACGCTGTGCTATGCGACCGCGAGAACAGGTTCTTGCAGTGGGATATAGAAGTCGCACAGCACCATCAGCAGCAAGAGCAGCGAAGGCTGCAGGCAAACGGCCCGTCACTGCATACATCACCGCCTGCGCGTTCTACTGCTCAAACTGCAAACAGCATGACGACGTCTCTAAAGTCTAGTCTTAAAGACGTTGTGGAAATTCAGGCTCAGCGCTCGCTTAACCAGCCTAAGGATCCGATTACGGCGTCGAGCCCGATGAGTAGCAAGAGTCCATCAAACGTGGATGTTGTCGAGGACTGGAACAGTGTAGACTTTGGTACTTTTCAAAACCGCACCGTGAGCCGTATCCTGAGCTCGTGTTTACACAAAAGGAAGTTGTACCATCCGTACAAGAACCAGGTCCAGCTCGTGAATTTCAACGTTCCAAATGGCCGCGGGAATGCTTTCGTACATGGTGCTGGACCAAATGCGCACCAGCTTGGTGGATCGTTGGCATCGAGTCTTGCTTTTGGTGGTCAGCAACACGGCGGTGATGGCACAGACGGATCAGCAATAAGCGGCTTTGTGCCTCTGCTTGTTGCAAGGCACGAGAACGGTCTCGGTAGCGGCAAATTCTCTGGCAAGGGGGAAAAGAAGACACCAAAAAAGCGCGAAGAACGCAAGCGACTTATGACGCTTAAGATGCAGGAGACATTTGCTGATCTTGAAGGAACATTTACAGAGCAGGATCTTGACGTCAAGGGAATTGTTGGACCTGGAGCATCATTGTCAAAGATGGCCCTGTCGAAGCTTGAAAATCTACCGCTGCCGGACTTAACGAACCTGCCTCAAGACCTTCGCGAGTTAAAACGAAAGATTGAAGCTACTGAACACAAGGTGGAAGGCACGAAGCACCGTCACCGTAAAGGCGGTCCCTGCCCACGTTGCCAGGTGCAGAATCAACTGCGTGCAGCTAAGCGCGCGTATCACAAGCGTGCTGTGGCGCACAAGAAACTACCGCATGCGGTTGTCAACGCAGTCAACGATGAGGCTCAAGAGGCCGCCAACGCACAGGCTGCTGCTGCTGCTACGTTAGAACTTGCTGGGAGCGTTACTGCAGCAATCAAGGCCGCCGCCGATGCTAGTGCTAGGAAGGGAAGCGATTTGTCTTCACTTGCTGCTGTTGGCACCGGATTAAACGCTAAATCAAGGGTCGCATTTGCTGGAGGAGCAGACTTGTCGACTGGTATGTCGAAAGCTATGCAACGCCCTGCGCTGTCATCCGTGCTGCTACCGCCTTCTGCTTCGTTTGGCTCGATGTCTTTAGTGGCAAATACCGGAACAGTTGGCTCTTTTGTTCGAACTGTAAGCGGCTCCTCATCGTCGCTCCCATGTGGTGGTGCCTCGCCTCTGTCTTCATCGTCGTCTGCTTCATCTGTGCCATCGCGTGTTCGAGGATTATGTGGAAAACCACCGTCGGCAATGTCATTTTCGTCTTCGTCGTCGGCGTCAGCGTCACCGACTCTGGCATCAAAGACATCGTCATCCGAGAGTGCGTCACCTCTATTGCAGCATGTGACTGTGTCCTCTGGCTAATAGGTAGTGGAAGAGGGCAAGCGGCGAAGATCAAGCAGCTGGATGGTGCTGAAGCGCGCGGGGCCACGGCGTATTTATTAGTGTAAACGAGCTTCCATCATACGCTACGCGCGACTTTGGTTGCTTGAAGGCCGCTCGGTTGTTCAATAATGCATAATCGGGGCAGGTCAGCTGGAAGTGACGAGCAGATAGTGGACTCGCATCACGATTGAGTCCCCTGTAGAGTGTAAGGGAAGGGACTAGCGCTTAAGAACACAATAGAGAATCCACGTAGCTACTAGAAAGCTCACAGCCCCGCTAGTTGCAATTTACAAATGTATTAGTACGTCATCGATGCAGCTCTAGCTCTTTCCGACGGACCCTTGTGGCAGACTAATAACGTTGGCGTCCATGAGCGCCAGACGCGCACAGCGACGCCGAAACTTTTGCTCAGTCCACTGCATGTTGTTTACCTTGATGTCGCGTGCCATCTTGGTGTAATCTCCACCGTACTTGGCAATGAGCTTGCGTAGATACTTGGTCTCCTCCTCGGACACGTAGTTTGCAACGCGCTTGGTATTGCGCTCCGCCAAAAAGTCACTGTCAGGCACCTCAAAGAGACGGGCCTCGTCTAGTGCCTCGAGCGAGCCTTCTGCGTCTTTTATGCTATCGCGCAGTGCGTGGTGGGCGTTCGGATTGGCCTCTAGACCGAGCTTGACGTAGTTCTGGCACGTCGTGAGGTTGTGGTCCCAGACCTGCTGCACCTTGGGATCACGCACGAACTTGGTCTTGAACTTCCGCAGCAGCTTCTGCTTGCGGTGCTGGACGACCTTTCCACGCCTCTTGATCTTCACGCCCAGTCGGCCCATTGTCAGTCTGCTTGCGTGCTAGCGTCGGGCGGTCGAGCTCGAAACGGGAAATAAGTGCCGAGGTGGTGGCGTCCTCACCACCAGTCAATGTGGTGAGTCGAAAGCAGTGACGTAAGTGAATAGAGGTTTATCGATATCCTCTATTTGCAAGTGATAGGTAGTTAACGCTCCCTAATTCACTGAAAGGAGCTGAACAATCGCGAGCATTTTTGTAGCACGTGCTTCGTGACTCCCTGATGCGCCTAACCCCTACTTACTGCCATGCCAATTGACACTGCTACCACTAAAGGGACCCCCACGACGCTCGCCAAAGACTCATCTGGCCGTATTCGCGGTGCTGCATCTGCTGGCACGAGCGGGTACATGAGCAGCTCCAGCTCTAGCTCCAGGTCAGACGCCAACCTTCGCGGCCAGGTGCATGCGGCTTTATCGCGGCTGCTAAACGTGAGTTCGGCTTTCAAGGATCTGCAGCCAGGGAAGGACACGCACGTGTCGACCCGCGAGGAGACGATTGCTATGATGCGGCACTATCTGAAGCGTCTACAGCTCGACGACGTGGTGGACAGCAGCTCTCCACGAGCGCTCTCGGTCGTGCACGTCGCTGGTACGAAAGGCAAAGGCTCGACGTGCGCCATGGTGGAACGGATCTTGCGTCAAGCAGGCTATAAGACGGGTCTGTTTACGTCACCCCATCTCGTGTCGCCCTGCGAACGGTTTCGCATCAATGGCAAACCCATTGCAGACGACGTGTTCTTACGGCATTTTAATGCCGTGTGGGACGGACTAGAGCGCACACAGGACAAGAGCTCACCCTTTCCGCCGATGGCCTGGTTCTTTCGCTTTCTTACGCTCATGGCATTGCGTGTCTTTGCTGACGAGAAGGTGGATGTGGTGGTTTTGGAAGTGGGACTGGGCGGACGCTTGGATGCTACCAACGTGTTTCGCGAGCCAGTTGTGTGTGGTATCTCGACACTTGACCTTGATCACACCGGCGTTTTGGGCGAGACACTGGACCTGATTGCCTATGCTAAAGCCGGGATACTGAAGCCGGGCGTGCCGGCCTTCACAACGGCACAGGAGCCGATCGCGATGGAGATGCTGACGAAATGTGCCTTGGAGACTAATACCTCACTAGTGTGTGTACCAACTCTCGATGGCTATGGACCCGAAGGAGCGCATTGCAACCTTGGATTGTGTGGAGATTTTCAGCGTACAAATGCAGGACTTGCCGTTGCTTTGGCTACTACATGGCTACGTAAAAAGCGTGGTGCAGATGCGAATGATCAGATAGACTTCGCGAAGGCCCTTGAGCCAGTTGTGAAAGAGGGACTTGAGTGCGCATTCTGGCCTGGCCGAGCGCAGGTGTGGGAGGACAAAGCGCACAAGACGCATTTTTACATTGATGGTGCGCACACGTTGCGCAGCCTCGAGTGCTGTGCGGACTGGTTTCGTCAAGCCACAGTTCGAACAGCCTTGGATGAAAGGCTTGTGCTTATATTTACAATTCACCACGAACGCAATGTGGCAAAGTTGTTTGAGCCGCTGATGCAGCAACGCTTTGATTACGTCTTCTTTGCTCCTACAAGCTCGATCCGCCCGAGCCTGGCTAAGAAACATACATTTTCCACAGCACTGCAGTATGCCGGTTTTCATGATCTATTGGCTACGTATTCAATGGGGGAGCTCGCGGCTCTAGATGACGTAAGTAGTGAAGTGCACCCGTGGCAAACGACGCTCTCGCGTATTTGGGTTGCCTTGAAGACTCGTGTTATGAAAGAAGAACAAAACGAATGCGTTGTTGCTGTCAAGAACTCAGTTGTGGACTGCATGAATGAGCTGTGGGCATCCTCTGAGTATGCAGATGCTGCACTAACTGAAGAAGAAGCTGGAGAGCGTGAGCAGCGCAACAAAGCCTGGAGCGTGCTGGTGACTGGCTCATTGTACCTCGGCGGTGAATTGCTGAACTTCCTGGGCTGGCAAGAATGAGCCAATGCGATGGGTGACCGATGCTTATGGCTGCGGTATGAACTTCGTGCATCTCATTGGGTACATTTGTAGACACTCCGGATCCATGCAGTTTCCATTACCGACAAGCATGACAGTATGAGCAACGCTAAAGAAAGGCGAAAGCCGTCGATGAGTTCAGCTTATTTTTATTCCTGTGATGAGCCTCAATCAACGCCGTAAGTTAAGTACTGCAGTGTTGAACGCATGAGGCTATGACCGTGCTAAGTGAATGTTCTTCAAGCCGAAAAGGGAAGACAGCTCTTTCTAAAGCGTAAGATGAAGCGACCGTTTAGATTTTGTCGAGCGAAGTATTCATTGATTGAATGGTAGTCGTAGCTGGCATCAAGCGTGACCATCTAATCGAAAACGTCAATTGCTTATGTAACGGGGTAGGCCGTTACATGACATTGACACCAAACGGTGTCAATAGGGAGATTGTCTAGCATGACAATGTTCTACCAATGTGACCCGAGATGGATAATATTGAATGAATATTATCTCCTTTCAGGATAATATTCATGCGCTGCTCCAAGATTGGTTGATAGAAGACATATCAACCATAGATTGCCACCAGTCGCTGCTAGACGCGCGCAATGAGTGGTGAGCAGGTTGTCGTCATACGACGACGCAGTTTAATATAGTTAGATAAAGATTAGAGTCATATTGATAGCTTAACTATACTAAATACAGTTCTCTTTTTACCCTTTACACAGCTTAGCCGTTGAGTAGACCAGCTTCCTCTGCACGTACTAGCGAACGTTAAGTTTCGTGGCACCCCGAACAAAGGGTGCCCTGTTACACCTGGTAGCACTTTGTAGTCCGTCCAACGACTACTTAGTGTCTGTAACGGGGTGAATCGTTACATAACAATTTATAAGAAATTGTTAATAGAATATAACTATAAGAGTTATATTCTCAGAATATTGTCATAAGGACGAATGTTCTGTAGCACTTACGAGTAGTTCCTAATTGGTTGATATAGGCCATTATATCAACCAACGAAGACGCGCCACGACAGACGCACGCAATGAGTGGTGAGCAGATAGTTGATATGCACATTTGTATTCAGACACAGTTAGATGAAGATAAATAGTGATTTATTAACAGACATTAACTATGCTAAATACAGTTCTACTTTTTACTTTAACCAAGTACTCGCTTCTTCTACCGTCTTCCTCTGCACGTACGAGTGTATGTGAAGTTCCGAGGCACCGCCTTATTCTGTCATCAGAATAAGTAGCTTGTACTGTCACCAGTACATTCTTCAGGGCGCCCCGTTACACCTGGTAGCACTTCGTAGTCCGTCCAAGGACCACGTTCACATCTAACATGAATATATTGGATGATGAAGATGACCAAAGCTTTCACGCTACGCGTGACGGCTACTCCCATTTGAGCGATGTCGAATGGGATGCGGTTGAACGAATGGGTTCAACCATGGGCATCCATGCTGTTAGCGTCATGCTAGAGGCTCTCAATAGAGATGCCCAACATGCTACTATCGCCAAGTTCATTCAAAATGAACTTGACGCAGAACGCGATAAAGTAGCCTTGCTTCACTAACACGGTTCTCAACAAGCAGAGTTGTTGAGAGAACAGGGTGCTCAACAGTTTGAACTGTTGAGACAGCAGCAGGCTGCTGCTGGTGGGTCGATGCACTCGCGACGACCCGAGACCTTGAAGATTGACATCTCCAAGTACAGGGGAGTCGAAGAGAACTCCCTCTTGAGATGGTTCGTCGAATTGGATGACGCCATAAGAGCGCGTCGCATCGACGATGGGGAAATGCAAGTTGCATTTGCCCAAGTAAATCTGGTAGGACGTGCCAAGACTTGGGCACTGGGGCTCAAGTTGCACGACCCATATGCGTTTGGGTCGTTGGAAGTCTTCAAGTCGCGGCTCAGACAAACGTTTGAACCGCCTAGAGCTGAGTTCAGAGCTCGAACCGAACTCTTGAAGCTCAAACAAGTTAAGCGTGATGTGCACGCTTACGCACAACATATACGACATCTCACGAGTTGCGTAAGTTCCAACCCGTTTGATGAACACACGTTGGTTTCGGTGTTCATGCAGGGTCTTGCGGATGGTCCCGTCAAGACTCACCTGTTCCAGCTTGAACTAGATTCACTAGAACAAGCCATTTCCATTGCGGAACAGGAAGACTTCAGTCTGAGACAGGCTCGCGCCAGCTCGACATCATATCGTCCACCGAGACGATATGACAGCGGAGGTCCAGAGCCGAATGGAACTCTGTTACGTAGATAGCGAGAAGGCTCGTTCTACAGACTACAAGAAGTTGCAGAAATGCAACAGATGTCAAAAGACAGGACACTACGCTTACGAGTGTAGTGCCCCTCGTCCAGTGTCTCGCAACACTGGGCGTAGTGACCGTCCACCCATGAGAAAGGGGCAGAGACGCGGGTCCGCTGTTGGTGCAAAGACGCAACAACGGGATGGACCGTCAAAAAAACGGACAGGATCAGTAGGTGCGGAGCACCCTGCTGGTCCAGCAACGTCAAGAGAATTTGTAGGCCTCTTGATGAAGGTTGCTCCCAACACACAAATATTGTGCGTTGCTGCTGTAGGTAATGAGATCTCACTCATTACCTTGAAACTCGAAGTGACGAATAAGTTGTCCCTTCGAGCTCTAGTCGATTGTGGGGCGTCCAACAATTTTGTGCAACGCCAATCGCTAGAAGATGGTCACTTCAAGTTTAGTGAATGTGACACACCTCCTGCGAGGATGACGGTACGTCTTGCGACAGGCGCATCTGTAACCTTCATGAAGCGTACAGTGAAGATTCACTATACGCTAGAAGATACCCAATGTGATGATGACTTTGTCGTATTGGATTTGAATGACAAATTTGATATCATACTTGGAATACCGTGGCTCAGAAGGTACGAACCACGGGTAAACTGGCAACATCGAACAGTAACGATGCCTGCCGCTTATTCATCAGATGGCCATCCGATGAACGTTCTGGAGCATCCACAAGCGTGTGGATGCACTACGAGTGAGTGCGATGGCCTCACTTGTGGTACGGTCGTTAGTACGACTGCACGAAACCTTAGTGTAGCAAACAGCTACACTTTGGAGCAAGCTTCCGGCGGCTGTGAGGAAGTACAGGCTGCGCCGAAGGTCCACCACTCGAATAAGTCGAGTGGACCGGGACAAAGATGTATCCCTAGCGGGGAACATCTAGAAGAGAAATCATCGATCGATCAGGTTAAGCGAAACGAGAATCCTAGATCGACTGGAGAGTCTTTCGTAGAGGATCTCGCTGTGGTCGCGCAACCCCAGCTAGAGGAAATTAAGGGAATAAGTCCCGATATTACAGATGCGGTGGAAATATGTTCTCCGAAACCCGCGGGAAAAGGTCCCCGGGAAGCCGAAGGAATAAGTCCTTCGAGGCCTGAGGGAATAAGTCCCCAGGAAATGACAGAGACATTGAATGTCCTAGTCAATAACGGATCAAGTGTAGGCGCTTGTACACTTGATCTGATTGCGCCTCCGAAGATGACTTCGAAGATCACTCAGTTGCCAACGCTCGAACATAAAAGGTTCTTGCGTGATCTGCGTAGTGGCAAAGTCAAGCAGATCTGCGTACTCGTCGCTGACGACGAGTTTTTATCCGACATAAGGTCAGCAACAGTGTTCACTGAGAACGAGAGAGTTCTCAGTAGTTCATCTATGGACGAGAGTGTCCTAGATGAAAAGACACGAGTTGAGCGATATGACTCCCAATCATGGGAATCGCTCAAGACAAATCCTCTCTATGAAGATTTGGTTGAATTCAAGGATGTATTCCCTGAAACTGTTTCCGTGCGAATTACCGAAGGATGAAGGTATTCGACACGAGGTCGAGCTTAAACCAGGCTCTAAGTACTGTGTCATGAAGCAGTGGCCACTGCCTTGTGAACAAGTACTTGCGATCGACAAGTTCTTTGCCGATCGTTTAGCCGAGGGCCGTGTGAGGGAATCAACTTCCCCACATGGCTCTCCGTCCTTCTGTGTGCGAAAAGCAACAGAAGGGTGGCGGATTGTGCATGCATTTAACAAGTTGAATGCTGCAACGGTACCGGCTCAGACGCCGATACCAAGGAAGGACGTAATCATTGATGGTATGTCAAAGAGTACCATCTTTTCGTCCATGGATTTGATGGATGGCTTCTATCAAATCCTTGTGCGAGAACGGGACATACTCTATCCCGCAGTGAGCACGCCTAGCGGCATGCTCTGGGAGTGGCTAGTAATGCCACAAGGGCTTAGTAATGCCCCTGCCACGTTCAGCAGATGTGTATCACATCTGTTGAGACCAGTACGAGAATTCGCACTGAGTTATTTCGACGATGTCTTCGTCCTAAGCTGGGCTATGGATGGAAAGACGGATGTTGAGGTTCATAGATATCACGTCCAACAGGTTCTTACAATCATGCGAAAGCGTCAATTGTATGCAAACCTCAAGAAGTGTATATTTGCAGCAAGCGAAATACCACTTTTTGGGTGCATCGTTGGTAAGAACGGTGTACGTCCTGATCCCGAAAAGATCAAGGCGATCACCGACTGGCCTGTGCCGGTTGATGTCAAAGGTCTTCGAAAATTTCTTGGGCTAGCGGCGTATTTGCATAAGTATTCACGCAATTACGCCGAGATGACTGTGCACCTCTTTTGTTCGTTGAAAAAGAACGAGAGATGGGAATGGAACGCTGAATGCCAGCGCTCCTTTGATGGTATCAAGCAGAGCTTGATACAATCCCCAGCCTAGCAATTGCCGATCAGGACAGGCCATTTCATGTGGTCTGTGATGCCAGCGATTTCGCAATCGGCTGTGCATCAATGCAGCACGATCTTGAAGGCGTTAAACGCTTCGTCTGCTATCAGTCGCGTCAGCTGCAACCAGCTGAGCGGAACTATCCAGTGCATGACAAAGAACTCCTTGCCATGAAGTATGCACTCGCGAAGTTCAGAGTCTATCTATTAGGAGATAGACTCTTCATTGTTTACACTGACCATGCGTCGTTACGCACGGCAGTGAACAGCCCGCACCTTTCACAACGAATGACGCGGTGGTTGTCATTCTTTGCAGAATACAACTTTACGGTCGAGCACAAACCAGGACGTCTTAATGTCGTCGCTGATGCACTCTCACGTCGTCCCGACTTTGAACCAGTCGTGAAACCCAACAGTGAGACAGTCACTGTAGCGGTTATGACGTCCTCAGTACCATCTTTAACGTTACATGTTGATGTGAGGCGGGCGTACACCCAAGATGGTGAGTTTGTGAAGTTGTTGACACATCTCTCACAACCATCTCGAGAATCGTTGAAACGGTTATGGTCTGCGTATCGGTCTGCATCAGATCGATACACTACTCGCAACGGTTTACTGTAATACAGCCGTTTCTGGTGACACACCACGTGTTGTCATCTCAGATGATACTGATCTGCGTTTGCGGATCATGTTCGAGTATCACGATGCTCCTATAGGAGGACATCGTGGCCGGGAGAAAACGTATCTCACGGTGAGTCGAGACTTTTACTGGCCCCGCCAGTATCAGTTTGTGCACAAGTATGTTCGCGCATGCGAAGTCTGTCAACGAGTGAAGTCAAGTCCTTCACTGCGTGCACCTTTACAGCCTCTACCGGTTCCGGCTGAGTGCTGGGAATCCATCTCAATGGATTTTGTCTTCGGGTTACCCAAAGACGCACGCGGGAATACGGGTATTCTCGTATTTGTTGACAGATTCAGCAAAATGGTACACCTTGTGGCTGTACCATAGTGAATCACAGCAAGTGGCTGTGCTTGTGTCTTAATCGACACCATCTTCCGACTTCAAGAGTTACCCCGTGAACTCGTATCAGACAGAGATCCACGATTCACTGCTGATTTCTGGCGTTCCGTGTTCAAATCACTCGGAACGCGCTTGAAGATGTCGACGTCTGATCATCCAGAGTCAGATGGTCAGACGGAACGTGCCAATCGTGTCCTTGAAGGGATACTTCGAGGATACGTACACTCCTTTAAGAGTTGGAGTGAGTTTTTGCCGATGGTAAAGTTTGCCATTAACAAATCGGTGCATGCGTCCACAACACATACACCGTTTTACGTGAATGGCTTGCGCCATCCGCGTGTACCCACCTTACTAGAGTGTAACTCTGGTTTAACGGGGGGAGGGACTCGCGCGAGCAAAAACCGATTTGGTTCACGCTCATCACGCTCTGACGAAGAGGTCATTGCGTTTGATGCCGATATCGATAACACCGATATCAAAGAAGATGATGCCAGTGAGAGTGCGGAAGCCCTCACTGAAGAAAAAATTGATGTTGCTGCAGTGCAATACAGCGCACTGAAGCTAACGAGTCAGCAGATGAGTTCATACTGGCTCGTGAAACGGTAGTCCGTTTTGTGCAAGACTCCATCGCCGAAGCGGTGGATAAGCAAAAGCAAAACGCTGACAAGAATGGAAGGGCAAACACTCTTTTAGTTAATAAAGGTGACTTAGTCCTACTGTCTACGGTTAATCTACCAAAGCATGTAGTGACTAACTTGGGTAGTAGTAACTACTACCCAGGTACATCGGCCCATTTCGTGTATTGCACCGCCTAGGCAATGCATGCACGATCGAACTGCCACGTAAGATGCGAACGCATCCCACGTTTTACGTTGGTCGGCTTAAGCCGTACCATCAGTACGCTGCTTCTTCCGATGAAGAACGCCCTTGCGCTCAAGCATCTCGCAGGGAGCCTTGTGCTCCCGATGGTGGATATCAACAAGGGTCTGAAGAGCAGCGATCCCATCCCGAGACCGGTCAACATCCCCAACGAGCTACCCTTAGCTCGTCACGAAGAGATGTCAGAGCTCTCTCGTTATCAAGATGAGCAAAGGAAAACTCAGCTCGATGCTTCGAGACAGCGTCCGCCAGTTGGAGACGCCTGTCCCGCTCATGTTCGAGATCGCCGCGTAATGCTTGCGTTACGTGATCATAGAGGCTCTCGGGAACACACGCATCCCCACAATAGTTTGGAGAGCGTTTCCCTCCTCTTCCACCTCCTTTGGAGGACTCTCGCGGTGGCCAGCGCTATCTGATTATGCGGCTGTTGAACCACCGCGATGTGAACGGACGTCGGACGAGTTACCTGGTCCGGTGGCGCGGTTATCCCCCGTCCTGGGGTACTTGGGAGCGCCGCTCCCAACTGATGATTGACGTACTGGGTCTGGTCGAGCAGTACGACGCGGCACATCCTGTGCCGCAGAAGGACCGCTGGAGAAAGTCTTCATGGCACGGTCGTTAAGGGATTTCAAGTTGTCAATCCCTTCGTACATCTCAGTAGAGATACGTACGCGCCACCACGGGCTGGTAAGGAGGTAAGCCTCCTTAGGTGCTCGTGCAGAGTTGTTCACACAACATGGGCACGAGTCTACCCATGAGAGGCAGGCTTATCCTTTCTTCCTTGACAGACGATGCAGCTTGTAGCGTGCACCTGTCGGGGTCCTCTTTTCAAACTTATCACGAGCTTTGATAAGTTTGTCGTTCCAAACGTCACGACCTACATCCTCAAGATCATGGATGTAGGAGTTCCACGCCTGAAGTAGTGAGGGACCATCACTTTTGTGATTCCCACTGTACCATCGATGCTTAAAGAAATCACCGATGAAAAATTCATTCTCAGCGCGATAGTTTTTCGCGCTGGGGTCAAAGTGATGGATCCTTGACGAATCGAACAACCGTGTCTGATAACGGTCACTCGTCATCGCCGACAAGTGATCCATGACGGGTTTGGGAGGCATCCATGCTTTCTTATCAGGAGCGAGACGCAACACGTTGCGGTCCCGCTTTTCTTGTCACGTGCCGACAGAAGTACTGTTACTCGTTGCGAAGTGGTGTCAACAGGAGAACCGACACCACTGTGAGCGCCCGAGTTTCGCGACCTCGAGCGCCTTCGCTTCGGCGATAATTCATCTGATTCATCAGATGAACCAAAGATGCTGATGCGCATAGCATCATCCATGCCACGCTTGGCAGGCGGCTTGGATTCAATCGCCGTCGATACGGATCCGTCTTCAGTATCAGGAGAGTATGAGACACCGAGCTCATACTCTGTGAAGACATGAGTGTCTTCATGACCAGCGCCTGCATCACCAAGTGACACAGGCTGAGTCGCTTCAGCAACCGATGAGACATCAGTTGCTGTGGTTTCTGCTTCGGTGTCCGCACAGGACGTGCGGAAGCGCTCTCGGCGGCCTTGCTCGCGCATCGCATGGGCTTGTTAACCATGCGATGAGATGTTGGAAAGTGGACTCGGACCAACAAGTGCAAACCCTGTCCCAAATGATTTGGGACGAGTATCCATTTAGTCAATCAGTCACTAAAGTGACTGATGGTTAAGGGGGGGGTGATGTAACGGGGTGAATCGTTACATAACAATTTATAAGAAATTGTTAATAGAATATAACTATAAGAGTTATATTCCAGAATATTGTCATAAGGACGAATATTCTGCAGCACTTACGAGTAGTTCCTAATTGGTTGATATAGGCCATTATATCAACCAACGAAGACGCGCCACGACAGACGCACGCAATGAGTGGTGAGCAGATAGTTGATATGCACATTTGTATTCAGACACAGTTAGATGAAGATAAATAGTGATTTATTAACAGACATTAACTATGCTAAATACAGTTCTACTTTTTATTTTAACCAAGTACTCGCTTCTCCTTACCGTCTTCCTCTGCACGTACGAGATAAGTGAAGTTACGCGCACCGCCTCATTCTGTCATCAGAATAAGTAGCTTGTACTGTCACCAGTACAAGCTTGAGGGTGCCCCGTTACATGTTACAACCACGAACAAGTTGAATAGAAGCTGCTTCGGCTTGTAAGCAAGCGGAGCGTACTATAACTATCTGGAATTAATGTCAGTGGACATAGGACAAGAGTGTCTCAGGCATCGACTTGATTTTTGAGGTACACGTCAGCGAAAGTTTTATCTACGTCATCGCAGATGTACAAAGGCTTCTGCATTGTGCCCTTGGAAAACTCTATGAAATAATTACATCTACTAAATGATTTTCATTTATTTAACAGTTTCCCACATATGTGGCATGTTACTGTCTGTCCTAGTCGTATTAATGTTTATTCACAAAATTTTGTGACTAATGTTTAAATTAATAATTTTAAATGTTTCTGTGCTTTAACCTCCGGAAAGAAAGATTATAGATGATGATTTTATTTACTATCGCCCTTAAAATGTAACAAAAATAATTTCAATTTATATCTTGATTGGTATTAAAATGATTGTTAATGAGTTGAGAAGGCTACATATCATATTAAATATTAAATTTTCTTAGTTGATTAAATGCAATTTTGTTTTATAAAATGGTTTAGTATTAAACTTATGAATGCGAAAAAGTAGCGGTATCTTAAGATTATGACAATCGTTTCTTGTGTAGTTATGTTCGCTAGCAGAACAAACATTTAGCGAGTGCGGTCATTAAAAGCAACAAACAATGCAACGACAGCGGTCAATTATAACAACGTGCGAACAAGTAGAAATAGAAGGCCCTGCAATGAAGGCGACACATGGACAACAAATTGATAGACGGGTCTAGGAGTAGCTTTCATATTCCATACTCGTACTCAAACTATGGCATTGTCATCTCGAACTCCTAAAGGGTAAGTAGTGGGCTAGGACAGCTTGAACAAATCCTACTCGTTAATAAACTTACCATCGATCCCTTAAACCCCCAGGTGACGGACACACTACGGCCATGACTGTTTGACTGAGCAATGCCCCGCGCAGCACTCATCCATGTAGGCATAGTCCGGGATTATTTGCAGACAAGTTTTTGTTGCATCTGCCGCAGCTTTAAATGAATTGCAGTTTAGTCGTTCGGGGCATGTCAAGCTGTCAATCACGTCGGCGCAGCATTTTATGACTTGATACTCGCTCCTGCGATTAATCTGGCAGAATTCTTGAATGCTTACAAGAGCTGCGCGTACCATTCGACTATCATGGCACACCAAGGTATCCTGCTGGCTCGAGCTTGAGGGGATGACAACAATGGTGATGGCAATACACGCGATGAACTAAACGTTCATTTTCAGTAGATGCGATGACTTGCTGTGTGCAAACAAATTCAAATTGCGGATGAGATTAAAGATGACAAGCCAAGGTTCGATTAAACCGTATGCGCAATCCTAGTGCACGCGCGACACGATGGGGACACCAAGATGATATTTGGACGACACTGCGGGAGGGAATCACCATCTCGTGATTCCATTTCCAGCAGCGCGCGTCATGCTGAGGTTTGTTTTGTCAGCTGATAGTTATCGTGGGTTCATCACAGCGTTCACTGACACCCTCTAAAACTCCATCCCTTTGCAAGTTGTCCTCCGATCTAGCACCGCTACGTTCCTATTTAGAATAAACAACTCAGAGCGAGTACTCGTTTATAACCTAATGACTTCAAATTGCTACACAATTAGTCAAAGCTTTTCTTAATTCTGCTTGCAATGTGAAGTCAAAAGGCAGGCAGAGTGGGATTTGTACTACTGGTCCAGCAGCTGCCATAACATCCACTGCAAGGATTTCCGTTGTTTCTAGTGGGGGTAGTCCGCTCATGCCGTAAAGACGACACAGAATCCAGTACTTCTACTGGGTGGCGTGTGTGACGGCAAAACACCGAAGGTCCAGACATGGGGACTTTAAATACGGACAAATCTCATAATGGAGAGGCACAGACTGTCTGTTATAGCTACATATCATAAAAAAATGTTTGGTGGTGGGATTAATACCTCGTGTCATCTACCATGACACAGCCTTACTACTCCTAGCTTTCTCACTCCGCTGGCTCATGACGTCAGGCGTCACGGCTAAGTGATCTATCTTGACGTAACCCTGACCATCACCTCGTGGTCGACTACGTGGCCCTTCAGGTCGGCTCGAGCTTACAACGTGCATGAATGTGCCCAGCCACACCACTAGACGAAAAGCATCTGTCTCAGGGCTAGTGTACATTCAAAACCTGTAATGGTTCTCATAGATGGTCATAATGGTCTTGGGTGAGTTCATTTTGAGGGATGTGGCTTGTGCTCAGCGAATTTTTTGGCAAGTCGAAGGCAGACCGTGAAGGTAGGAACTATTTCGCTTTGCAGGGTGATTCGATCCTTCGTCGACGTTCCCTGCACTAGAATATGTTGCTTACAGCTTTTCTCTCGAGTCGCATGTTGCGCTGCCTTCCGTGGCGCACGCCTCGAAATTAAACCCTTTCCGTTTTCACCTAGGCTTCACATTGGGGCATTACCGCCCAAGGAAATGGGACCAGTTTCCTGGCTCCTTGGAGGGTCTCTTTCTGTCCGTTGTTGCACATGGATGCCGATTGGGAGGTAATAAATTACATGATCAATTCCACAAATGTTTAAAAAAAAGGTTACAGTACCAGTGCTATACTTTAACCAAATTCTAAAAATCTGATCTAAACATGTATTGAGGGGCGAGGCTAATCTGTGCTTTAAACTTTGCTATTCCGTACTGCGAACGCATCGAACGATTTACAGACACCTAATCGTTTAAAATTTACCTTTATTCTAAATTTGACAAACGTACAAGTTTAGAGATGCAATGCTTGTAGATCTTTGTTAACCGTGTGTTATCTTCCTGTATGTCTCCTGTACATTAGCTTAACGTAAAAATAATAGTTTAGCTTTCGCGGCTTGTTGTTGTAACGGGGTAGCCCGTCGCATGAAATTGACATTAAACGGTGTCAATTGGAATATTGTCAGGCATGACAATATACTACCAATATTATTCGAGGTAGATAAAATTGAAGGAATATTATCCCCTGTTGGATGAAATTCATGCGCTGCTCCAAAATTGGTTGATTAAAGACATACTAACCATAGGTTGCCACCAGTCGCTGCTAGACGCGCGCAATGAGTGGTGAGCAGGTTGTCGTCATACGACGACGTAGTTTAATATAGTTAGATAAAGATTAGAGTCATATTGATAGCTGAACCATATTCAATACAGTTCTCTTTTTACCCTTGCTTAAACGAGTCGTTTCAGTATATTAGCTTCCTCTGCACGTACTAGTGTACGTGAAATTTCGTGGCACCCCAACAAAGGGTGCCCCGTTACAATCAGGGCCCGTCACATAGAAGTTGACGAGATGCAAGTCACCTTCGCCCTGTCAAATTTGACGGGACGAGCAAAGACTTGGGCCTTAGGGCTCAAGCCTTACGACCCTAACGTGTTTGAGTCGTTGGAGACCTTAATGTCTCGGCTTAAAGAGACGTTTGAGCCACCGAGAGCCGATTTCAGGGCATGCTCTGCACTCTTGAGGCTCAAGCAAGGTAAGCGTGATGTGCACGCTTTGGCACCACACCTACGATACATTGTGAGTAGCTTCATGGAAAACCCTGTTGATGCGCACAAGCTCACCAACGTTTTTACCTACGGCCTTGTGGATGGGCCGGTGAAGACCTACATGTTCCAAGAGGACTTCCATACGCTGGAAAGGGCGATAGCGTATGCGGAACAAGAAGACTTCAGCCTAATACAGTCTTAGGCTATATCGCCAATCAATTATCCGACGAGACGACAAAAAACAGGAGGTCCCGAACCAAAGGACCTCAGTTGCATCGAGAGTTATCATCGACGAGGATGACGGTGTGCCTTGCTACAGGAGCATCCGTAACAGTGAATAAACGTGCAGTGGCATTTCACTACACGATCCAAGGATCGCAGCACGATTATGACTTCGTCGTTCAAGATTTGGATGACAGATTTAATGTCATCCTCCGTCTGCCATGGCTCAGAAGATACGACCTATGGATCAGCTGGCAGCATCTATCTGTGAAGATGCCTGCAGTTTGTTTATCGGATGGCCATCTGATGAACGTCTTGGAGCGTCCACAAGCGTGTGGATGTACTAAAAGTGAGTGCGATGGCCTCACTTGTAGTACGGTCGTTAGTAGGATTGCACAAGATCACAGTGTAGAAGGCCACTGCAATGTGGAACCAGCTTCCGGCACCTGCGTAGAGACACAGGCTGCGCCGAAGGCACCACTCGAAGAGATCGAGTGGACTGGAACACGGATGCACACCAAGAAGGATGCATCCGAGAAGAGAGATTAGTGTTGTTCAGGATGAACAACACGTTAAAGCGAGATCGACTATCAGAGAGTCGATCGTAGAGCAAGCCCGATCCACTGAAAGAGAGTCGATCGAAGAGGCCGTGACTGTGGCAGTGCACCCACA